CATGATGCCAGTGATCAGTGGTGATTTAAACAGATTATGAATTTTGTTGCTGCTTCTCACTCTCCATTCACCTCTGTTGCATCTTTGATGGGTCCAAAGATTTGTCGAAAGACTTTGTTTTCAAAAACTGTAATAAGCTATTTTCAAAAACCTGTAAATCTCTTTTAGTTGTGCTCCAAGTTTCAGAGTCATATAAAACAACTGGTCTTATCAACGTTTTATATATTTTGATCTTGGTGTTGCGGGACAGACACTCTGACTTTTGCAAATGTTGAAGGGCATAGTATACTTTATTTCCAGATTGTATTCTAAATTGTATTTCTTCTCTCAGCAGGTTTGAGCAGTTGAAGTTTGCACCCAAGTACTTATATGTTTCCATTGTTTGATTTTCATATTATTGACTTGTATGTGGCTGGAGTTTATCCCTGTCTAGTTATTATCATGTATTCTGTCTTATCTTGATTTATAACTAGTCTCATTTTCTGAGCTGATTCTTTTAAGAGTCAGTGTTTAAACAGTCTCTAGTTCATTTTCTCGAACGATATCAATTTTATCAGCATATCCAAGTATTCTTGTAGTTTCTCCTATAGTACGCTCATGTTTCAATTTCATTGTAATTTTTTCCAGGGCCAAGTTGAAAAGAAGTGGGGACAGAGCATCACCTTGCTTTAAACCAGATGTTATTTGAAAAGGGTCTGACTTTCTGCTTTTATATATTAATTACTATATTACAAGTGTCTTCCATACATAGCTTGGTCATGGTAATTAACTTCTTCAAGCCATACATTACATGACCACATATCTCTACCTTGTGTTCACACTTAAAGGATTATAAATATTTCTTCAGTACATTTTTATAAACAATATTTATGCAAGCTTTTATGCATTATTCTTCATCCTGAATACAGTTTTATGTTGAGGTTCAATCAAAATTACAGTAATTGTTTAGTTTCAAAATATAATTTCTTTCATTGAAACATGCATAAAAATTAATAAAATGATATTCTGTATTTTTTTTTTAACAATGAAGTAACATATGATGGCTTAATCTATGAACAATAATATTTTGCATTATGATTAATTCTAAAATGTGATGAAATATAATTCTGGATATCTGAACATATATTACGTACAGAGTGATGTATGTGTAATCTAGATTTATAAACAGTAAAGGTGCATTTTACTAGAATTAACTCTTTCAGCCCATTAATGCTTAAATAAACAGGTTATGAAATTGTGGGGAAGCCCCCCCCCCCCCCTTCCTTTCATAAATCCCCCAGGTTACTAATATAGTTTAAAAAAAATTATGAATCTACTTTATTTAAACATTAAATCAACAAACAAAAAACCCAAACAAATGGAATATGGAATATAATCTGGCTTTTAAAAAAGTTATTAGAGTCCTAAGGACACCGCCCCCCGCCCCCCCTTTTTTCCAAACAGTGCACATAGAACCAATGGAATTCAACTTTAAAAATCAAGTCACTACAGAAATACATATTTACTGGGAATGTGCCACAACCAGATAAGTAACTAGATTTACGCTCCTCGGTGTGACAGGGTAAGAAGTAAATCAGTTTTTAAGAGAAAAAAATCTGCCACATTTCCTAGAAGTAAATCAGTATTATCAGAAGTAATTATGCATTCTTCGTCTTCTTCTTTTCTTGCTTCAGTTACTTCACTGAAGTGAGGGATATTTAGGACGTAAGCATTTTCTGTGTTGATATTAATTTCTTTAATGCTGTTCATAATGCTGCTGTTTGATCTTGTGTATGTTCTTCCATTTGCCCTGTCTTCATTATATTTCTTCAGAATGGCTCCCTCATTAGCCGGTACCAGGGCATTCCCTTCAGTGACCAGAACACTGCATTTGTTGCATTTTAATGAACTGTATGGCTGGTTTCAGTCCTTATTCCTGAATTTTTAATGTAAATCTATATTACTAGAAGTAAATTTGCTGTGTTTACTAGAAGTATTTTTGCATTATTAGAACAGTCTTTTCCGTAACAAGATGCACTTTTAAAGTAATGGGTTGTCAACATCGTGCAACCCCCCCCCCCCTTTCCCCCTGGAGGACCAGAATGTTTGTGGTCTGGCCTGTCTTCTTAAGACCTGCTGGACATGGTTAAACCTGCCAGGGACACAATTCCTCAGCTGGCATAGCTCTAAGAATCATTAGAGCACATAAGCCATTCTGTTATGAGAAAGCACCACCATCATAACCCGTCATCATTATCAAGTAGCATCTCATCATTATCAAGTAGCATCTCATCATTATCAAGTAGCATCTCATCATTATCAAGTAGCATCTCATCATTATCAAGTAGCATCTTATCTCTCTCATCACGGTCCGTCTGAAAGAAACTTGGTCTCTTGCCAACTCTCCCACCACATTTTCATATCCAAGGAGTCACTTATATCCTGTGCTACATCTTGGTACATACCATGCTTTCTGCTGTTTATTTATTTTAATTTTGTTATCAACCATGGTGGTTGATATGGCCAAAAGATTTCAGCTTCCAAGACAATATGTTTTTTATTGGCCAATCTTCCTTGATGTTCAGATCTTTTCAAATGTCAGTATTTTTGCTCTTCTTTATCCATGGTATTCTGAGAATCTTTCTATGGCATTTCATCTCAAAAGCCCATATTTTCTTTCTTAAGCACTAGGAGAAAGTCCACGACTCAAGTCCACATGCTGCTAACAGGGAAAATGTATGCTCCAAAATTTTAACTTTGATTTCCTTGCTGGTGCTTAACCCTAGATTCTGAATGCTGGTTATCTTAGCTCAACTAGTAGTAATTGCTAAAGTCACAAGAATGCAGTGTCACATTTTCTCTTCTCATATGCCACATAATTCTTGTTAGTGTGAAGCAGAAATAGAGAATAGCAAGAAAAAGCTTAAATATAGAAATGTAAAATTTTAAAGCTAATACATATTGCAAATGAACATTTTAAAAATATAGGGAAGAGTCAAATATGAGATCAAGACTGGGCTGCAAGTAAATTTAGGACCTTGCTAACTATGTAATAAAAATATTAAATGCATGTTAATTTTTCTTTCTCACTTAGTAAGAGATTACTGAGAGCAATAATGTTCATTCACGTTACAACTTTTACTATTATTATTCTTACTGCTTTCCCCGAACAAAGCACTGTAGGAAAAATATGTTAAATATTATACATCACTTGTCAAAATCTGAAGCAAAGATATTTGTTACAATTTTGATTGTACATATGAAACATACAAGTACAACTTGTGCTAGCTATTAAACGTGCCGGAGATGTTGCATACATCATACATACTCAAAGTTCCATCCACAATCAGAAGAAACTCTCTCCACGACATCTATCCGACCCCCAGCACAGCTAGAGATGGGTCGGTTCCAGCAGTCGCGGGCACGTCTATACAAGTTTCTGGTATAGAAGCTTTCCCAGTTCAAGAACAGTGGAACAAAGCCCTGCATGTGGGAGGAAGTCATGGAACAAGAAGCCATTGATATCAAATTTGTGAAAGAAAATGTTTGTTTTTTTAAACCCATGCTGTGCAGATGTTACACAGCAGAAAGTGCCTTGTGCTTCAATGGAGGATAATATGTGCACGATTTGACTGACAAATCTCAACTAAAATTAAAAAGAAGAAAGGGGTGCACATTATTTTAATATGTTAAATGAACGGCAACAAATATAACCCACACTCACAAAAACATTATGTAAATAAAATTAATAAATACAAAACTATAGATGAATAATGACAAAGCATGATTGTAGAATCACACAATGTTTAGGAAAATATATGAGGAAGTCTGAATAGTCAAATCCCTTCTTCTTCTTAGCATAAACTCCAATGGAAACTTCTGGTTGCTATCCATTTCAGGACTTTGGTCTTGTTTCAGAACTTCAGTTTTGCATGCACATCCAGTTTACAGATGTGGATTATTTGAAAGCACAGTTGGTTCCTTGCATCTAAGGTAGATGCACTTCAACTTCAAGAGAAACACCTCCAGTCACCTGTTACTAAATGCTTGCTGGGGTCTATTATTGTTCCCCCCAAAATGGAGCCCCGAACACACAAGCAAAAGAAAGGGAGGTAACGAAAATAATATATAAACAAGTTTTAAAAAATAATTAGAAGAAATAACTAGTGAAAAAATTATAAAATTCATACACACAAATACAATAATCGAAGCACAATCCAGTAACAAATCACTGAGAAAGTCAATAAAATTGAAATCAAAACGAAATATAAACATTTATGAAATGTGAGAAGCATATGGCACGCAGTAGAAAAACAAAAATAAGCTATCTAGAGTCTTTCTTGAATAAATGCACTTCAAATAATCTCCAAGATATGTGTCATGAAAAGCAAAGCTAAAAAAAGGTTGGTATTTTCTAAAACAAATTTAAAAGAGACAACTTCATAAATTATGCACAATTCAAGGGAGAATGTAAACACACAAACATTCCATGTATGCCAACTTACAAACATCACATGCGTAGTTTCAAAATTAAATGTCCCCATAAGTAATTTTATTAACTCAAAAATGTGTAATCACACAATTCAATATCCAAAAATGTTAAACATGTGACTGGAATTTTAGGTAGCTCACATGACCAATAACAACCATTCAGGCCTAACAAATAATATTTATTAACCCTGTGCCATGCAAAACTAAGTAAATTTACTACAAGATGTCATCATCTAACAAAAGTATCCGCTTATTCTGTTACCTTCAACACAAGCTCTTATTTAATTAAAAACAATGGATATTAAAGAGCAGAACTACGGTACAAACAAACAAGATGCAGGATGATACAACCTAAAAAAAGCACTAAATCCAAGTCTAGCTATCTGCATGCAGAAAGATTTCAAAAGAAAAACATGCAAGTTTCCAAATCCAAAAATCAATCACAAGTGGTTTTAGTAAGCAACACAAGGGATGCAGCATGGGAGTTGGGAAAAAAATGGGTGCAGGTAGCCAAGGGCCAAGGTACATACTTAAATGTCCATCCATGATCACGGGAATGACGATCTAGTATGGTGATATGTGTGCCGGGCACGCTCGCAACCACCCGGTTCCAGCAATCTCGGATTCGCCTGTAAACATTTCGTGTGTAAAAACTTTCCCAGCTCTGATACAAAGGAACAAAACCCTGATGGAAGTAAAAGCAGATGGGAACAATGTGTGAAATGGTACAAACTGATAGCATTCTGTAATAATATAAACAACTGATTCTCAAATGAAGAGAAATTTAGTCTTCTCATTCTCAAACTATTTTGTCATCTGGAGTGAGATCAAGAAGGGAAGATAAAACCTTGATGGAAGTAAAAGCAGATTTGAGCAAAGTGTGAAACGGTAAAAATGTATAGTATTCTGTAACATTAAAACAAAGAGAAAACCATCTGATTCTTAAATGAAGATAAATCTACAGTCTTCTAAAACTAATTTTGTCATTTGGTGTGAGGTTAAGAAGAGACAAGCATACATAAACAATTTTCTCCCTGTGGGCTGCCACCAGAAAGTCTAACACCCTGACGTTACAACAAATCTGGATGGCCAGGCCAAAAGGGTAAATCCAAGTTACCTGGCTCAATCTCCTAAGAAGCTATAACTTGGGCACCCCTACCGACTACACCAGTCTGGTGTAGCCTGCAGTCTTGTAAGTATCATCATCATTATCAAATGCCTTGACAGCTGGCTTAGGCGTTCATGCATCTCCACATATCTCGGTCTTTAGTGCCCCTGATCAATTCCACTGATGATATTCCTCCATGTCACTGTCTTAAGTCATCATTTCTCTTGGTCTGCCTCTGCCTCTTCTACCAGTGATTTCCAGTGGAAAGTATGTGCAAGTGTAAGTATAGATTGTGATATGGTACCAGAGATAAGCATCTGGTGAGATCTATGATACATGATTTATCTATGGTGATATTTGCACCCTCCAATATTTCACCAATACCTCATTTGCATGTGTGATGTCTCTTGATTCCCCCCTCGTGTGATTATGGATTAATGAGGACTATCATGACAGCACTCAGGACAGATCCAAAGGTGCTCCATTCTCTTCCTCAACAGCAGTACTTAAAGCCCCTAGATGAAGTTCAACTAAGACAAATCAGAGAAGACCACAAATTGAACCACCCAACTTTTGTGGCCCAAATTGCACTGCTCTCACTGTCTGAGAACATTCCATGCATGCTAATATTGGACTCATTAGTAGTTGCCTACTTGCCTTTAAATCTCACCTACCTGATGAAAAGTCGATGAATTAACATCAACTTTTATCAAGTTCATAACAGATATGGGAAGTGGAAGACTAGTATTCATCTAACTTCACACGTACAGAGAGGCATAACAGATGGTAACTAGTTCCTTATTTGCCAATCTTCCTGCCCGTTTGGGTTACGGGTTACACTTTAGAAAAAAAAGAGGAAAAAACGACTATCTGCACCCCCCCCCCCTTTCGGCAAGCATGTCGTTCAAAGTTACTAATTAGGGTTTTTTTTTTTTCAAAAACCTGTGTGCATCTGCCTGGGTGGCAAGGTACTAATAGTCTGCATATTACAAATAAGCCAAATCTATAAAAGTGATGTGCCAGCAAAACTCGAGTTCTGAATCAATACCATAGTCCAGGAGTGGACGAACAACCAGAACTTTCTGCCAAAGTTTACAGCCGGTCAACACTAAGACAAAGGGAGAGATTTCCCAAACTTGACAGAAAGAGAGCAAGGTGAAGATAAAAAGAAAAAAATCTGAATGGCCTGACCATACGGCACTAGCAATAAAAGAACAAGGACCTGATCTGAGACTGGTGATTATGTGAGGTGATCCATGACCGCAAATGCTTATCATCAGGATGAAGGTGATTGTCTAGATATGGATGACTGTAAAATACACATATAAAAAAAGTGGACCAAATAAAGCACAGAAAAGTATATTCTCTACGACCAATTACACTGCAACACTCTGGATCAAGTAGTGAAGATTTCCTGAATGAAACATTCACTCAAGAGAACTGATTGCCCATATCAAAAGGAGGGAATCTACATTCTTTGGTCATTTCATAAGAAAGAGAAAACTGGAATACATCACGACAATGGGAAAGTTAGAGAGGAAAAGAGGTCGATAAGACCAAGAGAGAAGATGCCGGACAGTTTGACATCATGGCATGGAAAATCATCTGTGTCATAAATTATTGAAAATACACGAGACAGAAGGTTGTGGACAGACATGACTTCCAATGCCACATGACATGGACTAGAAAAAGATGAACTGCACTGCCTTAGAAGTCAAATTCCAGAATTCTGTAGGAAACAGGTGCTGTCTGTACAAGAAATAAAACTGCAATAAGCCTATGACAATAGAAAACATGCTGGTCGTAGTTTGCTCTAGAGAACTACAGGAAAGGATTAAACAGTACACCACAAGAACAGGGGTTAGCATATGAGATGCTAATATACCTTAACTCTTTGAGTCCCAGGGGGTTTAGCATCAGAGGCCCAAAGGGTTTTCAAGACAGAAGTAAAATCGGAGCATCATGAGTTCATTGGGCCCCTAGGCGGGAACCTATGAACGTATGATGCGTTCCTTGGGACACAAAGAGCTCAGATGGAAATGAGATGCCTGAGAAGGGCTACAGGAGTGACCAGAAGAGACAGGAATTAGGTTATAAGAGAAAAAAACTGGCACAGAACCAATCCTAAATTTTATACAGAGACATCTAATCAAATGGTTTGCACATTTAAAGATAATGCCTTGTGACATTATACCATATAAGGCATCCACAAAAAGAGAAGAACTAGAGCATGAGGTAGACAAAGAATAGCATGGAAAGACAACATCAAAGAAACTAGGCGGTCAGAAAAGCAAGAAGCAGAACTTTTTATCTCCCTCTACACCCACAGCAGTAAGGGAGGAAGTACAGAAGAAGAATATATCTTCAGATAGAATAATGGTGTCCTGTATCACTTTAAATAACCACAGAAATAGACCACAATGTAACTGCTATAACTATATGAAAGTACAGTTAAATATCCTGTTCAACCCATCTGAGTTATAAAGGGAATATATATAGTTTTTTTCTATACCAATAATGGATATTTATGTCTTTTAATTATGTTTGGTAATTAATACTACATAGTTAATGTAACAATTATATACGAGTGTAGGAGTATAGATGGTCAGGTTCCATATATTTTAAGTGTACTTTCAAACATTCATAGTAATTTTATTGAAGAGATATGAATAAATCCTCACATCTCCCCAAAAGACTTTGCTGGGGGTGACTGGGGAAAAAGAAAAAAATAGAAAAATAAGAAGCAGGGGCAGATGTGATAGTGAAGCAGCTAGAATCTTTGCCTACTAATCTGCTGTCTATGGCAAATGTAATTTATGATCCAGAGCTGTTATATACACTAATACAAAAGTTCACAGCACAGAGAGAGAGAGAGAGAGAAGAGGGAGAGAGAAGAGTGAGAGAGAAAGAGAGAGAGAGAAGGGAGAAAGAAGAGTGAGAGTGTGTGTGTGGGCTAGCATGTGTAAATCACAGAAGGGAAATAAAATGGGACTATCTAGGATATTTGCAAACATAGCTGTCTAAAATCCGTCACGTCCTGTGCACCTCCTTAATGCTACAGTTCAGTAAACATAATATAATCACTGAATTGATCAATAATCAATTGACATAATGTGGGTAGAGAACAGAATCAGAGACACACACACACACAGAGGGAGGGAGGGAGAGGGAGGGAGAGAGAGAGAGAGAGAGAGAGAGAGAGAGAGAGAGAGAGAGAGAGAGAGAGAGAGAGAACAGAGAAAAATAAAGTTTTAAAAAGAGAAAGATATGGGTAATGCAAAACCTTGCATCCTGACATAACTGAAGCTTGCCTCAGAAAATTAATGTCTGAAAAATTATCAGAATTCTTTTAGGAAGGAAAGACACCAAGGAAGGAAAAATGTCCACCCTACCACCACATTATGCTGAGGCTTAGAATATGTGATATTTAACACAAAACATTCCAGTGGCAGTATCTACCACTGAATATGTTATATACTTATAAATACACACACACACATCTATGCTTGTGTGTTACATGGGCAGCCAAGGAAATAAAGGACATTGAAACCATAAACTAAGGAGTGAGCTGCAGGAGGTGTCATTTGAGGTGTGACTGTTGCCAAGCCACTGCTTTATCTAGTTAGAATCAATGCATGCTGCCCGAATGTACACCTTCACAGGCACATTGAAAGGCAGTGAAGCAGAAAGTCTTTCAAATGTCCTACCGCGGGACAAATGCTACTAGGATAAGGTCATTTCGACTCACCTCTCCCCTCAGGGTTCATGGTCTCCAATGTGACGAAGCATGTTAATGACACCAAAGAGCTACTGAGAAACCAAAACTGTTCTAAAGCAGTTTCTTTGGCAGGAGTGGATCAGGTAAAAAGGTCACCAAAGAGTGACAGCATAAAATCTTCTTCTTTGTGTTCAATAGTTGTAAACTCTGGTGGAAATTTATGGTTGTTCGTCTACTTTTGGACTTGGTCTTGTTCCAAAACTTTAGTTCTATATTCACATTCATTTTATAGATCTGGCTTATTTGTATGCAGACTCTTGGTTCCTTATCGTTAAGACAGATGCCATCTGACTTCAAAGGAAGGACGGAAAGATACACCCCCACCCACATTTAGTCACCTTCTCTGACACACTTGTTAAAGGAGCAGTGTGTCTATCCCCCCCCCCCCCCACCGCCTCAAAATGGTGCCCCAAAATACACACAAAGAACAGCATAACTAAACTTAACAGGAAGGAATAACAAATAATTTGTAGACTATTTGGACAGGACACACTGTCTTAGAGCACACCACCAAATAAAAACACTGTATCAGCTTTATATTTTACACTGTTAATATTTAAAAACTGTTTTAAAGGTGACAGGATCAACTTTGCTGAAAAGAGTTTTATCCCATATAGCTCAGTTTCTCTCTACAGAGCAGCCAGCCATCTTGGAGAGCATCATACAAATCACAAACTTGGTAACTCCAGCAACAACTCCCGGGGATCTCCGAAACACCTGCACTTAGTGACTGGAAGACACTCCCAAACCAAACCCACAACCTTTAGGGTATAAGGTGAACAGTTAACCACTCTGCCAGAAGAATCCCACTGTTAATTTTTTTTTATCTCCAAAGGTGATTGCTATATAATTTTTATTAGAGACAAAAGACCCGGTATTATTATACATGTCTTTCGCCTCTCCTGATGCTCGCTTATATGATAATCAGTTGTTACGCCCACACAGTATATTTATAAAATGATCTTCTTCTTTCCTTTCTCTCCCAATGTAGCTGCAGCTACTTCCCACACTGCAATTATCAGGACAGCCCACAAAGATGTACATTTTACAATCAATAAGCCACAGCAAAGAATGCTATTCTCATCTAAGCTAGATCACATAACCCATGCATACAGTTTTATAACTTCAACACTGAGGCAGCTAATATTATGATGCATACTGCTTCTTCTTTATTCGCCCTTGTTGTGGTTTACAGCTAGGCTGCAATATCTGTGACTTTCCAAAAACATCAGATTTCAGTATAAACTAATTAGCCACCTCTTATAACATGCTTCTTAAGGGACAGTGGATCTATTCCTTATCTGCCCCAACTTAGGACACCGGATGACTTGTTTTAACTGTGATCACAGTAACTCATGAGTTACAAAAATACAGTCAGAAAAAAAAGTACTGGATATCACAACCTATAATACTCTGCGCAAATATATATGAAATCCACAGTAAGGATGGCAACACAAAACGAAAAGGATAAAAACACTCTAGAAGACTGAAACATAATGGTAAGAAAGACAAGAATGAGATGGGCTGAACAAATATTAAACAAATAAATTTTCAACTATGCACAACATAAGACAACTACCTCTGCTTGTATCGCCCTTCCACCTAAGCCAATAAACAACTCTTGCTAAATGGTCCTATCATTAGTGGGTTTGTGCAGCTCACTTCACATACTCATCTTTTTTCACTTCACTCTCTTATTTCTCTGAGACGTGGCTAGACACTTGCCTTCCAACCGAAAGGTCTTGGATTCCGTGTCAATTTTGTTTTCTTCAAAACTGACCTTGCCTCCCAGGTCAACTTATCCTAAAACAGGTACTGGGTAATTTCCTAGGAAGTAAGGTCGGCCATCATGTTGCTGATCACATCAACCATCGAGTGTTGATTGATCTATAAAAATGAGTTTAGCATCATATGTGTGATGCACCACTGACATAACAAGGCTTGCTCACTTTAATCTTTCATTTGCTTAAAGTAGATTATCTGTATCGGCAATGTTGTCTCTAGTATGAACCTCACTATCTTTTGTAATTCACCCAGTGACCCATAAAGTTCTGCACCATTTGATGACGAATTCATGCATGACAAGATAGATATCATCAAAGCCTTTTAGATGCAAGTGAACAATGTAGAAGCACAAATAGATTAGCGTGGCCTAGAAGGAATGATGCAGAGAGTGATCAGTGGCAACACTCAGTGGAAAGGCAAGATGGACATACAATAAAACTGCTACTGGTATCATCGTAACTAGAATTTGCTTGCTGCTAAAGATTTACATGGAACTGTTATGGGAATTCCACAGTCCTGTGATGTCAAGTGTTATATTAACTCAACTCATATCAACTATGATCAGACAACTTTAACATCAATCTCTGGACTGGCTAGCTGATGACGGCAGTGCAGCTTCATCTTTGATTTTTTTTACCCTGACTTTGCTTGCTGGGAGTCACCGTTGCGGAGCAGCTAGACACTGGCTGTGGATCGGAAGGTTCGCTCCCAAGCGGAGCTGGACTTTTTTTTAAATGACCTTTGCTCCCAGGTCGACTCAGCCTTGAGTGGGTACCGGGTGCAGCCCCGGGAAGTAAAGGCAGCAGGCCTGATGCTGACCACATCAACCATCTTGTGCTGATTGGTCAATTAAATATTGGTCTTGCCCTATATGCTCTATACGCCTAAAGGCGTGGAAAAGGGTCCTTTCCTTTTTTTTTTTAATTAACCTTCTTGCCTGCTAGCTGTGGCAGCTTAGTGAACATCATACCAGCACACAGTCTAATTTTCTCTCTGGTTTTCATCCCTGATCATAATTCTTGAGTAATAATGGCTCACCTATGTAGAATTAACACATGTGAGATGAGATGCCTGAAGAAAGTGACCAACCAGAGAATTCATGACTGAGAAATGATACTAGAGAAAATATAAGGAAATTGAAAGAAGAGTGTACTACCGGAAAAACTACAAGAATACTTGGTTATGCAGATGACATTGATATCGCTGGAGAAAATGAACAAGAGACTGAAAAAACACTGACTCTCCTAAAAGAAGCAGCTCACAAAATGGGACTAGCTATCAATCAAGATAAGACAAAATACAGGACAATACCAAGACAGGGGAAGGATACAAACTCCGGCCACATAAAAGTTGATAATATGAAAATCAAACAAATGGAAACATATAAGTTTTTGGGTGCAAACTTCAACTGCTCCAACATGCTGAGAGATATACAATACAGAATACAATCTGGAAATAAAGTATACTATGCTAAGGTCAAAGGCTCTCTCTTGCAACACCAAGATCAAAGCATATAAAACATTGATAAGACCAGTGGTTTTATACGGCCCTGAAACTTGCAGCACAACTAAATGAGATGAAGTCTTATTACAAATTTTCAAAAAGTCTTATGACAAATCTTTGGACCCATCAAACAGCGGGGAATGGAGAGTGAAAAGCAAAAACGAAATTTATAATCTGTTTAAATCACCGGTGATATCTACTGGTATCATGAGAGCTAATAAACTGAAATGGCTGAGGCATTTAGAGAGAATGTCATAAGACAGAGAGATAAAAACTGTATACACAAGGGAGCTGAATGGTAGCAGACCACAAGGCAGATTAAGAAGACGATGGAGAGATAATATCCAGACAGAACTGCAAACACTTGGTGTCACCAACTGGAAAGAGAAGGCCAACCAAAGAGATGAATGGAGGTGGGTGATATCTGCAGCAATGAACCTCTAGGACTTGGAATGCTGAAGAAGAAGAATCTTTGGTACTACACTTAATTTTAGAGACCAGTCTGTGGTGCTACACACTAAGAGACAAATCTGCCCTTTCACACTTTTTGGCACCCATATTAGCTTATGTCTACCTAGGAGCCAAAGTCATTAATTTTTTTTTTGTAACACAGTGGATTCAAACTAAATACCGAGGGCAAACATCTTGCCAGGTAACTACATCAGCTCCTAAACCACAGTGACTCCATAAAATTTTTACAATTTTTTTATAATTCAAATAGTATGCCCAGTTGAAAGAATGTCTTGTGATGCCATACCATACACGGCATTTACCAAAAAAGAAGGATATACAGCATAAGGCTGACCAAGAACAAGATTAAAAAGATATCAGAGAAACGCTTAAAAAGCAACAATGTGTCAAGGCAGCTAGAAGAACGAAAAACAGAACATTATGTCTCCCTCGACACCTGAAGCATAAAAAAAAAGAAATGAAGAAGGGAGTTAAAGAGACATTTTTAATTTATGGTAAGAAAATGGGACAAGGAAATTAATCATCCCACCTCTATATACCTAGTATATGTGAAGGTATAAATAACAAAAACGTATGTGCCATCTTCACAGTGAAGACTGACTATAGGGTACCCAATGCTGACCACAGGCAATGTTGTGGTGAGGTTTCAATGTCTTCCACAGTGCGACTCTCGTATTACTGTCCGAGAACAACAAGAATGGTATACCATCCCCCCACCAGATACAAGCCCTAGTACTCAACACATGAAAGTGTTAAATGCATTCACTAAGCAGATGTGTCCATCATGAAACAACATATTTATTTTACCTGCATGCTAAATAAACAATCACAGACACATTCGACAGACATAAATCTCACCTCAATTTTTGGTTCAGTGCAACTTTTGTCCTTCTCAATCCCATAAGCCCTCATGAGGTCACGGATCTGACCTACGATAACCAGCAGGCCATAGCCCAGGTATGTTAAAATGGCCACCAGAAGAGGTGTCTCCTCAAAGGACTCGAAAAAATCATCTTGCCATTTTTCTACCTTGAAAATATATTCAAGAATTGTTATTAAGCACACTAATGAAATATAGACAACCTAAGCATCATACATTCAATAAGAGAAACTCTTCAGTAAAACATTTTTTTCATTCTTTATTTATGAAGAATGTAAAAGTATGCGCAGCTCTGCAGCACAGAGGTTAGTGAAATCATATCACAATGCAATACCTGACATTTATCAGGGTTCGATTCACAAGGTGGATAATTTAGAAAAAGACTAATCACATGGCTTTCAGAGCAGTGGCATGAGAGTCACACCATCAAAGTGATTTGAGTCTAATCATATAATATTTCTATGGTAAACAATGGATACACTGAAACCAACCTCCATTGTGAAAACAGCACACATTTATTTTGAGTAGTCTCTTTACATCAAATTCAAAATACTGTTTTCTCCCCATTCTCTTCTTCCCTTCCTCTAGTTACTTTAGAGCAGTGGTTCTCAACCTTTGGGTCATGATCCCTTTGGGGGTCAAATGACCCTTTCACAGGGGTCGCCTGAGACCATCAGAAAACATATAGTCACTGACTGAAGTCATGAAGCAGTAACGAAAACAATTGTATGGCTAGGGGTCACAACATAAGGAACTGCATTAAAGGGTTGAGGCCTTAGGAAGGTTGAGAAGCACTGATTAAGAGGAATGCTGGGAAAGATATAAGAATATTCTGTGTGCTCTGTCCTATTCCACCATTAAAGCTTATCTTCATTTCTCCAAGGTTGCTCCCGATGCTATCAGTCCATATTTTGCGCAGTCTTCACCTTGCCCTGTGCTCATTATATTTCTTCAATATGGTTCTCTGAGATGGCTGGTAAAAGGCCATACAAGCTATTCTTATGTTATTTTTAATCAGTTTTATAGCTGATTTCAGTTTGAATTTCTTAATTTTCAATTTACTCTGGAACTCTTCTGAGAAATCTACACCACTTGGTGGTGAACTGATGTTAGACAAGCCAGATGTTGTGAGAGCCCTCTGGAAGCGAGTGAACAGCGCAAAAACCCAAATGGATCATTATAGTGTGAGGAGAATGGCGCTGCTAGGAGTTAGTAGGGGATCTGGTCAAAGTTCAACTCTCAAGGGAAAGGGGAGACAGACATACAATAAGACAGTGACTGGTGCCATCAGAATTGGAACTCTTCACTAATGTAAATTCCTAATACTACGTCCTGAGAAATCTCACCTCTACATTTTTTTTCGGCTATCCTCTGAAAAACGGTCCTAAATTATTGAGGCGGAAAATATACCCTAACAGAGCCTCTGTCACGTGTCAATTGGGCACTTCCATCGTCTTGAATTGCGCGATTCCGACGACTTCCGCCACTGTCGAGTATCCCCCACGCCGGCTAAACTAAATGGCTGGGACTCACGAGCAGCAGCTACCGCATCTCCTGCAGCTTCCACACCACGCGTAAGCGTGTAGGGGAATACTCTCGGCACTGGCGAAGGTTGACGGAAGTTGGCACTTCGGCGGTGGCATTATAGTCCCCGGAGGTGCGCAACTGACACGTGACTAAGGCCCTGTTAGGGTATATTTTCTGCCTCGATAATTTAGGACCGTTATTCGGAGGATAGCCTTTTTTACTTATAGTCAAGCTCCATGTCTTACACAATGTATATATTCTAAACAACATTTTTTGTTTACACTATTACTGAATCATAGCTGTGTATACTCAGATTTTCTATTTCTGCTAGCCAGCTGCCCACAGAAAGTTTCTTTGAAATACATCCATTTAGTATGCAGTATACATGGCCAGTTCATAGATGATCATGCTGGCAGAAGATTTTTATAATTCCCTGCTGCTGCCCTTTTCTTTGCAACAGGTCAGTGGCATAACTTTTCGAAAACTATACCATCTGGTTTATCCCATCATCTCATATTTGTTATGATACAGTTTTTACAGCACTTTAAAATTTATTCACAAATCATTAAAAAAAAATTTTAAATCCCACTTTGTGTGATACACAATTAAATTAATTGGCTCTCCTTGCAACTACGCCTACATATTGGGTGTACGCCAGAGTTCAGTCCCCTGGCCGCATTGCAATTACAGAGTGGAAAAGAGGGAACGAAACAAATGACATAATTAGTGTGTGTTGGCGATAGACAGCGTGAGCAATAGACAGCGTGCAGTGCACTGCTGTCATCATAGGGTTAGGGTGTCGACCTCACTTTGTTGTGTGATTCGTTCCTTCTCCATTCCGTAATTGCAATGCGGCCAGGGGACTGAACTCCGGCGTACTCCCCCAATATGTGGCCGTAGTTGCAAGGAGAACCAATTAATTATTAGAACTCAGTACCAGTGGCAAATTACACATAATTTGGCTCTCCTTTGAATCAGCCCCCAAAATGGCGGCATGCAACATTCTGGCCATAAAATATCCGAACGACGGTGTTCAAGTATATCTAAATTATGGTCTTTCTGCCAAGGAACAAATTGCTGCAAAACTAGGATTACTTGACAATCAATATCAACATTGCGCACGGTAGTAGTAGCAGACGATAAATACCGACCATTGACAACAATGTCGAGCGTTTCTGCAGACGATACTAGCGACCGGTGACCACTGTCGAGACATTACATATGATGAAAGCCGATTAGCAATACTGCGTTCTTCCGATTGGAGGATGTAGCAGCGGTAAATGTCAGACTTGTCGGCATGCGCCAAACATGATTAAACTCATCGCCGAGCGTATCCCCCGCGCCGCTACGCACAGTTCAGATGGGGGGCTAAACTAGGTGCCTGGGACGCACGAGTAAAGTAATTGGAGGAAGTTGCAGGAGATGCGGTAGCTGTCGCTCGTGAGTCCCAGCCATCTAGTTTAGTCCCCATCCGCGCTGCGCGTAGCGGCGCGGGGGATACAGTCGGCGGTGAGGCACACTCGCAGAAGCAGGTCAGCAAGTAACGTATCGCTGAGACCCTGTCAGAGCATTTGTTTCGTTATATGGAGCCGGCACATATATTTTTAATAGAACTGACTCGCATTCGGATATTTTTGGATATTTTATGGCAAGAAATTGGCCAATTTAGCTCTCTTTCGAACGCCATCATATTAAAGCCGCCATTTTGGGGGTTGATTCAAAGGAGAGCCCATAATTTTAATGAAAAATGTTTTATAAATAAAATAATCCAATTTCAAATAAAGACACAACTTAAGTTTCAACTTATTTTACAAAATTTAATAAAATAATCCTAATCCCTTTCCTTCTTCCTGATGAACTCTTTTAATGTTTAACGACAAACTAAAAACCAGAGTTGCCGTCCGTCTGCTGGGCATCCAGGAATTAAAAAAAATAAGAATGATTTGAAAACAAATTTAAACAATTTTTCTTTAAAAAAACACAATACTGCGGACTAACTCAGCAGCCAACTAAACTGTCAGTAAATGAACTGCCGACAATGCAACAGCAGACTACAATACTACAGTTACAGTGGTGTCTGACACACACTGACACTGCTGTCTCTCAGTCACAAAAACTCACATGACATACTAATTCAACGCAATAAAATAAATAACAATAGTTACAATTATTACAATACAATACAGTAACTACTTACGTGTCTCCCATTCTTTCCATTTATTCCGTTTTTCTTGAAACCATTAATGTGTCCGTTCTTGTAATGATTGTTGTTTGTTCCCAACATCTTTGAATACGTTGCCGAAATTCTTCCTGTCTCGCTACGCTCTCGGTTGGGATTGCCCCTCCCCGTGGCCATCTTGTGTTTTCCTTGTCGAGCAGGAAGGAGTGCTGCCAGGAGACGTTGTAAAAAAAAGTGGGCCAAATATTTCAAATTATTGCGCAAAGATTAGTTAGTTGCGTATCCTTTACAGGACATTGCAGAAAAAAACCCAGCATTTTTTTTCTGTTGTGGTTTTCTAGGCACATTTTACATTCACCAGTTTGTCATCGCCACTGAACGGTCAGCTTTTGGTACCACTGTCGAAACCAACGCAAGGTGCAAGGCCTGCAGCTGGGATCGAACCCAGCATACCGGCATTACGAAGCTTGTTCGCCACGCCTAAGGAAACAATTAGTACAAGCACATTATTATTATTATTATTATTATTATTATTATTTTTATTATTATTATTATTTTCAACACTAACTGCTACTGTTACCACCTGTGATACTACCGCTACTCTGCTACTACAACCATCTACTACTACTACTACTACTACTACTACTACTACTACTACTACTACTACTACGACTACTACTACTACTTCTACTGCTGCTACTACTACTACTTCTTCTACTACTTCTACTGTTGCTACAACAACAACTACTACTACTACTACTACTACTACTACTACTACTACTACTACTACTACTACTACTACTACTTCAACGGCAACAAAAACAATAAAAATTGTAGCTTTTTTTAAACATCTCGTCATATGGTTACAAAAGAATCAATGCTGTCTGTGTGATTGTCATCAACATCATCATTATCATCATCATCATTATCATCGTTCGTTTCCGACTGGCGTACGCGATTTTTCCTCTCCACAAACTGTGATCTTCAACACCGCGTATCAATTCGTATGTTTAAACCCTTTTATGCCATTTTCCTGTAATTTGTTACCATTAATACATAAGAAATGCAACATGTTTAAACTACCACCCCCACTACCACTACTACTACGACTACTACTCCTGCCGCTGCTGCTATTACTACTGCTATTACTACCGTTATTACAACTAACTCTCCATTCCATGACAAAAGGCTGTTACGAAACGACTCGCTTTGCCTTCTTTTGTCTCCTTTTCCAAAAATCCTTCACAACATGTTCCAATATTCTTCTTCTCATCGCCTGATTTAAAAAAAAATGATGAATGTCTCTTTCTAATATTTGTGATGAGTTGTCATTGATGCTTCACCACTTTCAAAACACCTGAGTTGGTTTTCTGTGGGTTTTTCTGTCCAAGGAATTATAATGATTTATCTGTAAAACATACATCTGCGAGTTTTCAAGAAATC